TATTATTCTTCATAAATCTAAAGCTTTCCTTGGGAGATTAGGACCATCTATTAAAAGTTCCCTCAGCTTCCCTTCCTTTAGTTTCAGAAGTTTTAAATATTTTTATTTATTCCCTCTTTGGTGTCCTCCTTTGTTTTTACATCTTCCATTCATTTCTTAACCCATTATAATCTGGTTTCTGTCCTCACTCAGCCATTGAAATTGCCTTGTTGATGGTTGTCTTGTCAAATAGTTCTTTACTTTGCCCCCTGCTTAAACCTCTTTGTTATGTTTTATCATGTTGAACAATTTTTTTCCCATCCTTTCCTGTTTTTCCTTTTTCACTTCTTCCCTCCTCTTTCATCCAGTATCAGGTGAAGTGCTAGACTCTGGGTATACGAAGATTTATGTGAGAGAGAGAAGGGAGTGTATGTTCTACTCTCAAGAACCACACAGTCTAACAACAAACAAATAGTAATAGTACAGCATGCTAAGGATTGCACATACAGTGGCATTTAGGTTCAGAAAAGACCTTGGGGGGCGCCTGGGTGGCTCAGATGGTTGAGCGTCTGCCTTTGGCTCAGGTCATGATCCCAGGGTCCTGGGATCGAGTCCCGCATCGGGCTCCCCGCTCCTTGGGAGCCTGCTTCTCCCTCTGCCTCCTTCTCTCTCTCTCATGAATAAATAAATAAAATCTTTAAAAAAAAAAAAAAAAGCCTTGGTTTCCATCTAGAAACTCTCTGCTCCTAGCTTTGTGATATTGTACCCTTTGGTTCTCTTCTGGCTTACTCTTTATATACCCTTCCCTTAAATAGGGTAACTTCCAAGAATTTGGTCTTTTGCCCATTTTTATTTTTGTTCTTACCTGTCCATGGATTGTCAGATACCTTTATAATATTAACTCTTACCTCTATACACATAATTTCCAAGGCCTACATTTCTAGCATTAATCTCTCACTTCGTTTTCAAACCCATACCTCAGACTGATTCCTAGAAATTAAAACATGACTATCTTCAGTCATATTTAACTTTAACCTGTCCAAAGCTGTTTCCCTCTCCAACCACAAATGCACCTATGAAAATCATTTGAACAAACAAACAAAATTCATCCTGTGTTTCCTGTCTCACTGAATAATTTCACTGTTTTCTATGTTACCTGGTCTCTAGAAGTCTCTGAGTCATTTTTAACTCTAGATTCAACTCATCTTATCTTTTACATATCGGGCATTGAGTTAAGTATATTATGAACAGGATCTAGTTTAATTCTTTTACTATGAGGTAGGTATTGTTTTCTACATTTTTACACATGAAAAACTTGAGAATCAGAAAGGTCAAGCTGTGTGTCCAAGAGTAATACACAGCGCCTGAGTGGCTGACTTAGGGTCACACCCACGTGGGTGTCTCTGCAAAGTGTGGTCTTTTGCCCTTTGTATTGTATTGACTCTTCTCACAGTTGGCCTCACTGTGTCTTCTGTACCAATATTAGCACATTTAATATCCACATTTATACTTTTCTTTTAGTGGCTCTATAATCTACATGTTTTTGTGACTAAGAAGATATTCTTAATAGTGTGGAAGAACTTTTCAATGAATTAAGCTAAAACGGCTCAGCAAACTTTTTCTGTAAAGAATAAGATAACAAGTGGTTTTAGGTCTTTGTGAGCCATACAGTCTCTGTGGCAACTATTTAGCTTTGCCTTCGGTAGAGAAGCTGCCACAGATAATATATAAATGAATGGGCATTGCTGCATTCCAACAAAATGTTATTTACAAAAACAGGACATGGGCAGGTTTGGCCTACCAGTTCTTGTTTACATAGTGCTTCATTTCTTCACTTGTGCATTTAAAATGCATTTATGTGTAATCTAAATTGCTCAGGTAAGAGAGAAGTTAAAAGAGTAATTAAAGAGGTATAATTTGAATTTAACAGTTGGGAGCTATTGATTGAGAAACACTTAAGTTGATCAGAGTTCTGAACTTTGTCCATGGGGAGGTTTATGAGTTTGCTCAAGATGCATGATCTCTCTGAGTCTTAGTTTCTTTGTAAATGGTAGGAATAACGCTTACCTCACAGCATTGTTGAAAGTGTGAGATGGAAGCCCACCATATCAATAGAGCTATGACTGCTTTTTTCGGTCTCTTGTGTTTTCCACATGAACTGTTTCTTTTTTTTTTTATTAAAGATTTTATTTATTTGAGAGAGAGAGAGAGCGCAAGTAGTGGGGAGTGGCAGAGGCAGAGGGAGAAGCAGGCTTCCCCCTGAGCAGGGAGCCCGATGCGGGGTTCGATCCCAGGACTCCAGGATAACCTGAGCCAAAGGCAGACGCTGACTGAGCCACCCAGGTGCCCGGAACTGTTTCTTATAGAGAAATTTAAGGGACAAAAAGAATGGAATCTCTCAGATGGAAGTGGGAAAGCTATCATAATCATTATTCTCTCTCTCTAATAGATGACAATAGAAAAAAAAAACCCAAATAATTGTTTTGGGTGGGGAGAAATGGTAGTGGGGAATATATGTCAGTGCTGAGCAGATAAAAAGTCTGGAAAGGAAGACAAGAAAATGAAACTTTTCTCAGTAAGCTGAGAGTGGGGTGAGGAGAACAAAGAAAGGGCATGAGGATGGGGCACATATGTGGGAACAGGACCTAGAAGAGGGTTTGGATGTGTGAAGGGCTGGGAACCAAGAGGGAAAACGTAGTCAGCAACCCATGAACAATTGCACTAATAGCCCCATCCCCAGAAGAATTCTGAACTTTGCATCACAGCATAGCCTTTGGAGGGAAGAGATGCTTTCTTGTGTCTTGCCAAGGGTTCTGAGCTGGGTAGCTCAGCTGGGTAGCTAACAACCTAACAGTGTGACTTCGCGCTAAGATGTAGAAGGTGGCACATGCATATTTAAAATTCATATCTATTGCATTGACAAGCCACTGAACACTGTAGATGGGAAGACAGATTTCTGCTGAAGTTCAGCCAAAAACACTTTTGGAAACAACTGAAAAGGTGGGCCATAAATGAATTAAATCCAGGGAGTTCCTGGGTATCTTCTCTTATGATGGCAGTCTCCTGCAAAGGTGCTGTGCACAGGCTGCTAATAAGCAGTCACACACACACATGATAACTTGTAGCTAGATATTTTCAGTTACACTTTTGAATCAGGGGCACTGTGCTGCCTGGGTACATACTCAGTATGCTTTTGATGTCACTTGGAACAATACAGTTCACTCCTAATGCAGCTTACTATCACGAAGGTAGGTATTTTCTTAGTATGATTATAGGACCCTCGAAGTAAAATAACCACATGATGTTTTAAAGTAGCCCAATAGGTAAAAAATTCCAAAATTTTGAAGATGATTTGGGTGATTTAAGTTCATAATAATTTTTTTTGCCAACATAGGGATAAAACAGCTGAAGATTTCCATTACTGAGACCCCTGAGTCAGTTTAAAACTTGTTTCTGTGACCATGGGGAATGAACACTACATTAGTGATCCAGTAGTTGTCTTACCTCTTCCAGTGCTTTATACAGTTCAGTCAGCTATACCTGATTGGTGACACGAGCAGCCTGTATCGGGTGACTGCCAAAGGGACTTACCACTATGCAATTTGATGCTCTTCTTAAATTAATGTGCTGCTCTTCTTAAATTAAATTGTAGACGTTTTTAAAAAAGATTGTATTTGAGAGAGAGTGAGAGAGAGAGCATGAATTGGGGGTGGTGGGCGGTGGGGGTGGAGGGAGAGGGAGAAGCAGGCTCCCTGCTGGGAGCCCTACACCGGGCTGATCCCAGGCTCCCAGGATCCCAGGATTATGACCTGAGCCAAAGGCAGATGCTTAACTGACTGAGCCACCCAGGTGCCCCAAATTCTAGGCAGGTTTTTAAAAAAGATCTGGTCTGTACTCTGTCTTCTGGCTGCTCTGTATCCCTTCCCAAGTAAGTGTAGTCCTGTTCCTGGTTTATTGTAGGTGCATAGGAGAAACTTGTTCTTTTATGAAACAAAAATATAACAGTGGGATGCTGCATTGGTATTTAAAATGACACGACCAGATGTGAGGATAGAAAAGATTTGCATTTTATAAAAATAACTTCAGCTGTCCATTGGTATAGTCTACCACTTTGTGTAATATTTCCTTAAGTTCGTTTTAAAAATTTATTTTTAATTTTTTTATTTTAAGATTTTTATTTATTAGAGAGAGAGAGAATGAGCACCAGTGGGGGAGGGGCAGGGGAGAGGAAGAAGCAGGCTCCCCACTGAGCACGGAGCCCAATGCAGCTAGATCCCAGACTCCAGGATCATGACCTGAGTAGAAGGCAGATGCTTAACCTACTGAGCCACCTCACCTGGATTTTTCATTTTTATTTTTATAAATATTAAATAAAAATAACCATCATCCAAAGTGGTGTATTTTATTTGAAACATCAAAAAAAGTTAATGTAGTAACAGTTTTGTAACATTATGTAATAACATTTTATAATATAGTGGAATGCAGAAGTCATGTCTGTCAAAGATAAGCAGAACTTAGTTAAGATGACAGGCAGAAATGTGCAGGATGGCTGTTTCAAATATCCTCTCTTCTGCTATATGTAGTCATGTGCTTCCTTTAATTAATGAGACATTGTTAGGGTCAACCAAGCCCTGTCCTTTAGGCAATCCCTCTAAACTTTTTGTTTCTAGAATATAGTCCAAATAAAAGCAAATTGTCGCATTTAAAGTTTTATTCAACCTGAGGGATTCAGGACATGACATGACCTGATAAAGGAAGTTTTCTTCAAACCCACAGAAGGACAGCTAGAGAGTAGGGATCTAAAAGTGATGTTCAAAGTTCTTTTGATTTAGAGCAGTACCTAGTAAGCCTCTGTCAGCAGATTTCCTTAGTGGGATCTTCTGTCTGTTTGGAGGAGGCAGTGAGGGAAACAGATGTCAGTAGGACAATCGGACGCTGGTTGGAGACAACAGAGGACGTGTTTACTGTTTTAGAGAGTGAAGCTGGACTTATGCTTTGCATGTGTGCTCTTTGCAGAATCTGTGAAAGGAGTTTCTACAATGGTTTGCTCAGCTCTCAGGAGAGTTGCTCACCTGCATGTTTACCTGGTGAGGAAGGCCAGTAGTGTCTCCAAAGGCCATCATCGGCAGGCCTTGGGCTCGAGACCTGCTGCTTCAGAGTTTGCTGCCCGAGGAGCTCCAGGTGGTGTGGTGGAGTTGCTGGGCAGATCCTACCCTCAGGATGACTACAGCAACCTCTCCCAGAAAGTCCTCTCCAGGGTTGGCAGGAATCTGCACAACCAGCAGCATCACCCTCTTTGGCTGATCAAGGAGAGGGTGAAGGAGCACTTCTACAAGCAGTATGTGGGCCGCTTTAGGACTCCACTGTTCTCGGTCTATGAGGACCTTTCTCCAGTGGTCACCACCTGGCAGAACTTTGACAGCCTGCTCATCCCAGCTGACCACCCCAGCCGAAAGAAGGGAGACAACTATTACCTGAATGGGACTCACATGCTGCGAGCGCACACGTCCGCACACCAATGGGACCTGCTGCACGCTGGGCTGGATGCCTTCCTGGTAGTGGGTGATGTCTATCGGCGCGACCAGATCGACTCCCAGCACTACCCAGTGTTCCACCAGTTGGAGGGCGTCCGACTCTTCTCTAAACACGAGGTGAGTCCTGAGACCGTTCTTATCATTGATACACAGCATGGACATTCTTGTTGAGGTCACTAAAGTTTATTTCAATGAAAGCAGTTGTCCTTGATCTCCTTTTGCATTTGTGAATTGTACATCAGTGCAGGCTGAGCCTCAATATTTTTTTATTGATTTGTTGTATTCGTACCTACAGAAATGAGTGGGCCTTTGTTTTGCCTCGTCTGGCCTTAGTCTTTCAATACTGACCTGCCTTTCTCTAGATTTCTTCATATGAATGAATAGTCAGTGGCTCAAATTTATCCTCAGTCCAGGATGGTTAAGATACAATGCTGAAACCTATGGTCAGGTTATCCCAGTTCTCAGTTAGTAAAAGTGAATTAGGTTTTTGTGCCTTTAGAGGTTAATGAATTTCTTCTACAGTAGAGGGGACTGGCAATTTATTGGCTTAGATTGGAAACTGTGTTCTGGTCCCAAGCTCTTCCCTTACCATCCCCTCCTCTACATTTGTAGGTGTTTTACATTTTTTTCTTTGTGAGATGTCTTAGTTGTTGCTATTCCTGAAGTATATGTTTGGAGCTTAGAGGTTTTTGATCAGGGAATCTGATATTCTGGTTATTCTCAAAAGCCACCTGGCGTGTTTGTTAGCTGATATCATAATATACTGATTTCCTAATTTTTTCTCTTTGGCAAATTATGAAAATCCCTAAAAGCTTGAGTCTGTTTCCTAAACACCTGCAATACCACTTGTCTTTCATTCATATATTTTTAAGTCTCTGTTTTTATGTAAGAAACAAATGGAATAAAATGAGGCATGGGAAATATTTCACTTTACCTGTTTCACACTTCTTCCGTACATGTTCATCAAAACAGGAAGAACAGTTCCCTCCTGTGAACAGAAGCTTCATGGGTTGTCGGGCATGGAAGGGAATAGTATGTGATCCCTAGGCCAAGAAGGAACCATTGTTTTGTTGTATTAAGTGAGCCACGTCGTATGAGACAACTGTTTGCCTCAGGATGTGCTGTTTTTCTGTGAGTCAGTGATCTTACAGCAGTAAGTGAGCTTTACATGCAAAGACCATCCACGCTTAATCATATAGCTGCTTAAATGAGCATTCTTACTCCTTGGAATAGCTGGCTCTTTTCTAAATTAGGATTAACACTATTAATAAGGGTATGGGTTTATTAGGAAGTGAAAAGGAAACGAACATAGGTCAAAGTCTAGGAAATATGACCAAGCGATGGAATGTCACCTATAATTAATAAGCTGGAGGAGATGTTTACTAGTGGGATGGTGGCCAGGTCACGGCAGCCAGCAGACGCTCGGCCTGGCTCACCTCATTAAAAAAATGAGAAAGGAAAGTGCTCACTGATTTGTAAGCCTCAGTGCCATGAAAGTGGCAGTGAAAGCTTTGAGACTTACACTGGAATTTTAATGGAGGGAAAATCCAGGCTACCTTAGAAGGTGGAAAATAGGAAGAGGGATAGGAAAGTAATCTTTATCTTGTTTCATATTTGTTTGGGGTCCAGTCCAGCTTAGTCGTTAGCAGACATGGCTAGTCTAGACTGACAATGTTACTGTATATTCTGCCTTATCATTAAAAAATTATACACACACACACACATAACTAATAATATAGTTTGATGAGGAATTCCATGTCCATTGTTGCATGTATTACTCTTACTAAAACCCTTGTGAGATCAATTGTTTCCACTTCAACCATGAGGAATCTGAAGTCCCCAGAGGTTGCCCAAGGTTATCCACCCAGTTGGTGGCAGGGCTGAAACTTGAACTCAGGTCTTCTGAGTCCATTGCCCATTCTGCAGTATTCTGTTGTTTTCTAGGTAGCTGCTTTGTAAGTGGGACCTGCTTATGACCCAGGTAGAGCGTTAGTTTTAAGAATGGTGTTGGGGAGAGAGAGGTTTTTTTTGTTGTTGTTGTTGATTTTGTTTATTTCTTTTTAAAGTCTGGTCTCAACTAAAGTGTTGGCACTAAGTCTGACCTAATCTTAACCATCAAAAAAATGTTTTTTCCTTCTTTCAGTTTATTCCCCTAGAACATGATTTTTCAGTAATTTTAATCATGTTACCTATGTAATTTAAAAATTTTATTGTTATCTTTTAAAGTTTGGTTATTTAGTAATCTTTATAATTATTGTTTCAATCACTATAATGTGTATTTCTACAGAAGAAAAGTAAATACAGAGGTCTGGGTAAAAGAAACAGGGATAAGCCTAGAAATGGCTGAATTATGACAATATATATTTTAACTATTAATTGTGAAGAAAACCCGGTTTGTATTTCAAAAAAATGTTAAATGTATCAGTACTCACAAATCTAAATGGGTTAAACTTACCAATTAAAGACATACATTACCAGAGTGGACATTTTTCAGTGAGAGAGACCTGAAACAAAACCATACCAGAGGTTGAAAATAAAGGGCAGGAAAAAGGTATATCAAGCAAATTACTTGCTGGAAGAAAGCTGGTACAGCAATATTAATATTAGACAAAATAGAATTTGTGGCAAAAATTGATAAATACGAATAAAGAGGGATAATATATCAACTAGAATGCTTTATGAATCAGGAATTTTAATGTGCCCAACATCATAGCCATAATACATAAACCCAAACTGAAGAAATAAAAGTTTAATTTGACAAATTCATAATCATAGTAGAAGATTTTAAATGACTTCAATCAAAAGCCAATGGGTTAAGAAGACAAAGTGAGTAAAGATACAGATAATGGGCTTGAGTTATGGTTATTTTTAAAATTCCATAACTAAAATAAAATAAAATTCTGTAACTATACAGATCCACACAGAAATTCCATACTCACAGTCGGAGGTATGTAGTCACATGGGATACTTAAAATAAGTTGTCCATGTACCAGTTGACAGTTGAAGTCTAAACAGATGTCAGAGAATCAATAACATAGTAGAACTGTGCTTGACTACAGTGTGGTTTATGTAGAAAGCAGGAAGAAAGGATGATAAAAACTTTTCATGTCCTCAGACATTTAAAAATTCACAGTCATAGATTCATGGGATAAAGAGAAATATTACAGGGGCGCCTGGGTGGCTCAGTTGTTAAGCGTCTGCCTTCGGCTCAGGTCATGGGGTCCTGGGATCGAGCCCCGCATCCGGCTCCCTGCTCTGCGGGAAGCCTGCTTCTCCCTCTCCCACTCCCCCTGCTGTGTTCCCTCTCTTTGCTGTGTCTTTCTCTGCCAAATAACTAAATAAAAATCTTTAAAAAAAAGAAATTTTATAGTAAATTGCAAATTACTTGTTAACCAGCAAGGAAAATACTCTCTTCAAACTGCTCAGGTGTGTAGGAAAATAGTCACTTTATTTTGTAGAAACTTGGTAAACCCCACTTAAATTGTGTGATCACAGTTAACATTAATAAAGCAAAATGTGTGGGTTGGAGCTAAAGAGGTACTTGTAGTACATTTAGTTTAAATATATTTAGGAAAATTGTAAAACCCTGAAAAATCAATGAATTAAGTGTCATTTTAAGATGCTAAAGCAAACAACATTGTTCTAAAAATGTAGAAGGGAGGTGGGTTGTATAGTTTGTAATAGTCCCAAATCTACAAAACAGATACAGCAACTGGAATAGCAAAGCCCATCTCCGACACAGCTGGGTGACGAGGTCTCCCTAAGATCTTCACAAATGGTGGGAACTCAAAACTGCCAGCTGCAAGCTCTGCACTGTGTCCGAAACCCAGGCCGTAAAGGGAACCAGTGAGGGCTGAGGGGAGGAGAGCTTCTGAGTCTCTCAGAGAACAAACTTCAGACAACCCAGTTTACTCGCGGGCCTTTGACATTTAGTGCTAGTAATAACATTGCTCACCAGTGACCACCAACATTACAAAGAGAGGAGCCAGGGCCAGACTTTCAGGTCTCCTGATGGAAGGATACAGTGGCAGCTCTAAAGTCTTGCCAAAAAATTTGGACCTGACTCTGATCAGATCTCTAGATCCAGCTCCAAATTGACAGGTAGTACAGAGGACAGAGAAACATGCTAAACTATGCCATGGAGAATTAATAAGCAAAATCCAACCTGTGGGAAATGCTACAGCAATGCTAGGTCGCCTGGGTGGCTCAGTCATTGAGCATCTGCCTTCGGCTCAGGTCATGATCCCAGGGTCCTGGGATCGAGCCCCACATCGGGTTCCCTGCTCCACAGGAAGCCTGCTTCTCCCTCTCCCACTCCCCCTGCTTGTGTTCCCTTTCTCGCTGTCTCTCTCTCTGTCAAATAAATAAAAAATCTTTAAAAAAAAAAAAAGATGTGATGTGCATAATGAAATAAACAGAAAAATCAAAAGGAAGACCTTAGAAATGTTTAAGCAGCAGTGTTTAGAAATGTTTAAGCCATCATATTCAAGCATGTTATCAGTGGAATTCCTTTGTGGAGTATCATATAAACTGGTTCCAGTGTTCTTCCATGCTCCTGGTGAGTTGCATGTGCTCAGTCTGTGTGGTAGTCGTGCACAGTAAGACCATGTGTCAGTCTGAGACCGATGGGAAATCTTAAACTGTCCCTTCAATATAAGCAACTTGAGAAGCACTGCTGTATAGGACAAATGATTCAGTTTTGTCAAGTAAACTGCAAGAAAAATAAAAGGGAAATACACCTATAGATTAAAAGAAAGATCAAGAAATCATAATGCTTAGATCCTATCAGGAGAAAACATCTTTAAGGAAAAAATCATTTGAGGTCATTAGGAATTTGAATGCTAACTGAATGTCTGAATTTAAGGAGTTTTTTATTTTTATTTTTTAAGGTATGATAGTGGTATTATATTTAGAAAGTAATTTTCCTTTAGATTTACATATTGAAATACCTGTGAGTGAAATGATCAGATGTCTGGTTTTCTTCAGAATAATATGGGGATAGGCATGTGGGGATGAATGGAGGAGGATTGGTCAAGAATTGTTAATTATTGAAGCTGGGTTTTGGATACATGAGGGATCATTATCCTTTCTACTTTCATGTGTGTTTGAAATTTTTC